ACCTTTACTTTTGGTATGCAAAAATACATACCGTGCCTTACCGAATTTTTGCGGTATATCTTATTTCGGTATACCGAAATATCGGCACAGTAAAGATATGGTGTTGATAAATTATCATGATTTAATATAACAAATTATTATATGCCAAATGAAATATACAAAACCCGTGTCAGTAGTGATATACTAAAATCATTAATGAAATTAATTATAAGTTACTAATGATAACCTATTGATGTTCCGTTCAATTTTGAACAAAAATTGTTATAAATATGTTTAGATACACTAGTGCAAAATATATATTCTATAACTAACATTTTATATGGGTTCCTGGATAACCGTAATCGTATATGGACGGGTAAGAATTGAGAATATAAAATTTCTATCTATAACGGGTCCACAAAAACACCGACGTAGAAACACAAAATGGGGTTACATTTATAATATTTGTAAATTCAATTAATATTCGGAGCCCTTTTTATAATTAAAAAACTTCTTTTCTATGTCCGTTCATTTGAACCCTCATAAAAGAATTTGCCCAGACCAACTTCGCCGTAGAAATAAGGAGTAGAAGTTAGGAGAAAACCCTACTCGAAAAAACAGAGCTAGACGCCGCATCTCCATAAGTCCTCCATAGTGTTCCATCAGACCATCACCCTAGTTAGACGAAGATAAAGCTTGATGCCATGGTACCAGCACCGCTTCTCCACGATGGTGCTCCATCACCCCACTCCGACGAAGACAGAGCTAGACGCCGCGGCGCCACCACCATCGCTGCTCCCTGGTATTCCACAACCTACTCTTACATCCTTAGCTGCCAGAGTATTATCACCTATATTTGTTCCCCAACATCTCGAGCAAACCATCCTCCACCACATCTAGGTAATAAAATGTTTCATGTGTGTGTATATATACTACACACATATATTTAACAAAATTACACTTACAATGCATTTTTGTTCTTGAGTTTGTTGATTTGCTTTAAATTTAGTCAGTGTGAAAAATGTCAATAATAATTTTCTACAATTTTATAATGTCTCTAATGTGTTTGTGAAAATGCCTAAGACATTCAAATGAACGTGGCTACATAATCTCAAACTTTTAGGATTAAGACCAAGAAGGAAAATAGTTAATTAGTTAATTCTCACTATTTCTGAATGATCTATGAACCCTCGTTTTTTCAATTTGAAACTCATTTGTATTATTCCAACAAAGCATCACCAATGTGTTCTCCACTATATTGAACTTCTACCGGAGATGAAGAATTATTAGCTCCTTTTAAGGTATCATCATTGTCCTTATGAAATAAGTTGGATGTTTTAGAAAAAAATAATTTATACTAAATGTTGTAGTTTTTCAATGTAGGATATGGAACTAATGGCGCTTCAGATATGTGTTGGAGGTCTCATATATTTTGTATTGATTGGGAAGATAGACAAAGCAACTACTTCCCAGGTAAAAAAATCTATTGGACTGGAAGCTGATAGTACCTTAATTGTAGGCTCGTATGACTTATGATTAAGTGATGTCATGCATTTGTAAATTTGGAAGTTCTAGTAAATGAATTGGTTGATTATTGTTATGGCTTCAACTCAATAAAATGGTATTCTTTTACCCATTAGATCCCTGCAAATTCATCGAATGACTAAATCTAAAATGAATTCTAAATTGAAATGGGTTAACCCAATGGTAAAATATATTTGATTCTACTTATCTTTAGGTGATATAAGAACTTTATGGCTTGTATATTTCTGGTGTACTAGATATAATCATCTCTTCTTTCAATTCATATCTAATTTGTATCACTTCAAGAAGCTGTTTTTACTATTATGTGAATTGCCGTTTCATCATACATCGACACAAAAGGTTACTATTAATTTTTATTTTTATAAGGTTCTATTATACATGTTATATGTAGTTACAGTTATTGAATTTGCATATCTGGAGTATATACATAGTAAGATTTCAAGACTCACTGTTTAATCTTAGTTTGGATATTAGACATGAACAATTTATTGGTAAGCTAGTGATTTGGATATAACCAATTGAGGATATTTTATTCGTTTTGTTAAAATTTTGATTCCAGAAAATTTAACATGAACTGAAGTGTTCACTAGTGGTATTCCTTGAAATTGGTAGTACCTGGTAGGCTGGATTTCCTAATATAACTCTCCATTTTAACATACTTAAAAATGCAGTAAAGATGTCATTCAATAAGTACCTGGAAATCAACAGTACCTGGTAGGCTGGTGTTCCTACAAACTGTTATCTCCTCTGCCTTTGATTCCTAGAAACTGTCATCTTCTAGTACAGGATTATGCTTTATTTTAATCATATGATATCTTCACAAATGTCCTTTGCAGATGTTTTATGAGGTGCAAACATATAACTCAATAATCATGTTACACAAAATACATTGGGCACTATCTCATCGGGCATCAAGCTAGTGGGTTCCGAGGCAGTCTCCTTTTTCCTTGTGACATTTTGCAATTTTTACAGCTCATAATGGATGGATGTCGGTTATGTTATACAAGCCTATGTGTTTCAATGTAAGTTATATAATCCTTTCTGTGTGGAATTTGAATTTAGTTGTTTTATTCAATTTAATAGAAAATTAAGATACTCATGATTTAAGCAGGTTTTATTGAAGCCAGAAGTACTTGAGTGCAATGACAAGGGAAGCTTGAGTTATTTACGTGTCTAATACCTCTGTTGTAATCAATCTTTTCTTTGACGATGATAGGTCGTGGCCAGCAGCTTATGGTGGGTTCCCCTCTCTTGGTACGTGTTGTTCAATTTAGTATTATTGGTATTATTATAATGGTGGGTGATCAGATTTTTCAAGGATGGGTTGTTGTGCCCCCATGGTATTATACTGGTTTTTTTACCAATCAAGTGATCATCATACTATTATCATGCTAAGGGGGTGTTTGGATCTGATTCTTAAAACTGCTTCTGCTCCTTCAGGGAGCAGAAGCAGAAGTTGGGGTGTTTGGGTGAAAGTACAGAAGTGATTCTGGTGCTCTAATTTACTCCTAGAATCAGTTTTTTTAGAAGATGGGGGTGACCAGCTTCTGAAAACTGATTCTGATTCTGCTTCTGCTTTTAAAAAAGAAGCAGAATCAGAATTAGTTCCAAACACCCCCTAAGTATCATTGTAGCTGCTTTTGGAGCCCAAGCTTCAGGTGTCTGGTAGAGTGAGACTAAAGTGCCAAAGCAAGATTGAAGCATATCGGTGTTAACAACACCAGGGCTAAGAGCATCGATAGCAACTCCAGTTATCAACTCCTTTGCTACGGATTTTGTCAGACCCTCTATAGCCCACTTTGATGCACAATACGGTAACACCTGTCTAGCAGATGTTCTTCCCCATCTAGAAGACAAATTCACAATAACTCCTCGTTGTTGCTTCTTGTCAAGCATAAGGGGTATGAAGTGACACGGTATATTTGCTACTCCTTTTACATTTGTATTAATCACGTTATCAAGTTCTTCCGCTGGAACCTCCCATAGCTTGTTGTTTCTATTGATGGTTCCTGCATTGTTAACCAGAATACCTGGAATGTTGTTCTTTTCCTTAACAGCACATGCCAGTTCTTCAACACTGTTGTTTGACCTCACATAAACGTTCATGATTAGGTGTTTACTTTGAGAAGGGGAGGAGGGGGATGAACTCGAGGCGGATGCGAGCTCGGCTTGAAGAGAATTGAGCTGATCCTGGGAACGGGAGCAGCGCCCGACGATGGTATGACCTCTTTTTGCCATCTCTAAGGCCAGTGCTTTCCCTAGCCCGGTTATCAACACCGTTTTCGGAGCACCGGTCGCCGACATCGACGGTACTTCCAAGCTTACTGTCCTCAACGTTGCGGTATTGTACTGGTTTGTGAACATATTTTGGATCTATTGCAACCTGCCGCCAAGCAAGTCCCTCCTGACTTGACATTGTGTCATTTTTTAACATTGTAGAATTTATTCATTTTTCATATTGTTAGCAATACTGTGACATTGACATTGTTTTAACAAGATCATTTTTATTGCATTGTTTTCAGATCCATGTTGCAGAAATAGATTTGAGGAAAATACTATTAGGAACCTGCAGTATAAAGCGGAGCTTGCTTTAAAGTTTTACATTGTAGCATCTTCATTTTAAGGTGGAGGTCCTTAAAGGACTGATGGGGGAGGTCACAGGAGTAATACAAATAGCAGTTGCTGAAGATCGAGGTGCGGGGGGGCACTTGAGTAGTGGCACACTATTCATATGTTCTTCGTACAGTTGCATACTCTTTTACTTTCACTACTAGTTTTCAATGAAAAAGTTGTTTGCGTATATAGATTTTGATTTTGATGTTGCTTTTTGAACTTTTGTAAACAATGTAAATCTCTGTAAATTCACAAGCTTAACAGCAAGACTGGGAGCTGGGTTCGAAAATTTCACTTGTACTTTTATTGTTGAACCTAAGTACTTTGGTGTAATATATATTATTGTATATATAAAGCTAAAATGAAAAGCTTTTTTTTTAAAATAAAAACATTACATTTTAAATAATAAAATCACTTATATATATATTCTACGTATATGACAGTAAATGCGATTATTTTTTTTTATAAAAAAAGTCGACTTTCTATAACGGTTGGTTATTTCACCCATATAAAAAGGATTTTATATGGGGTATTACTGGACTGACACGGAAAACATTCTATAACGGTTAAATTCCTAACCGTTATAAAAAACATTCTATAAGGGGTACGACTAACCGACACGAAAAGTGCCCGATTTTCTATATCGCTGGCTACTGCTAAAGTATAAAATATAAATATTATTAACTCTTGTATTTATCCATCCAGCCTGGTGTGTTTATCTGTACACCTACTTGTATTTATCATATGTAACAAACCCAAGTGTACAACCTACTATTTAGGATCTAGCAACTACTCTCACGTGAGTATATGTGTACATGGCTATATATACATAGCAGACCATTCAATGAATAATAAGATAAATCATTCATCCTGCTTAATACTTGTATTTGCTTTATGGTATCAGAGCCTGCAATTCATTGAATTGCTTCGGTCATTTTTTTTTCTTCTTTTCTCAAATGGGAGACCATGCCAATAGCTCATCTCATTCTGCTGGTGTTATTCCTACGAATAACTCTCCCACCCCACAATTAATCTCCTTAAATGCCTCATCTCAAATTCCAATTAAACTTTCCAATGATGGAAGCAATTACTCATCATGGAAATCTCAAATGACTAATCTCCTCTTTGGCTATGACCTGCTAGGCTATGTCGATGGTTCTACTCCATGTCCTGATAAATCTGCACCTAATCTCAGCTTCTGGAATCGTCAGGACCGCCTTGTTCTCCTGACACTTCAATCAACGGTTTCTGGCCCGGTAGGCCCCATCATCAATAGCTGGCAGACCTCAGCGGAAGCATGGGAGAAACTTGAATCCAGCTTTGCCAATACATCCATCACCAGGATGCTCTCACTGCACAACACCCTAGCCACCACAAAGAAAGCTGGAAAATCCGTTACAGAATACATGGGAATTATGGAAGGGTTAGTTGATGATCTTGCCACTATTGGTCACCCCGTCTCATCCGGCCAAGTCATGTCATATGTTCTTAATGGATTTGGGCAAGAATATAAGGAAACAATTTCTGCTCTCCGAATTCAGCCAACGCCTCTCACGCTTTCCACCCTTCGTCATCATCTCCAACAAGCTGAAATTTTGGCCGGTGACAACCCCGACACCTCTATATCTGTCCAGTACTCTCAACGGCGAAGCAACAATTTCTCTCGTGGCAGAGGGGGCAGAGGTCGCGGTCGACACACCTCCTCCAACCCAAATCCTCATCAACACGGATTTGGTTCTCAAGCAAGCAACTCTCGTTCAACCGTCATCTGCCAACTTTGTGACAAACATGGTCATACGGCATGCACTTGTTACAACCGTAATACTCCTTCTGTTAATATGACAGACAAATCACCAAATGCAGAGGCAAATGCAGGATGGCTTCTAGATACCGGTGCCACACATCACGTTACCTCGGATCTGAACAACCTGGCTATTCACTCAGACTATTCTGGCAATGACTCTGTTATCATGGGAGATGGTAATCCTACTCCAATCTCACATATGGGTTCCACAGATATTGTTTCATCTGATTCTACATTTACTCTTAATAACGTTTTGCATGCACCAAAAGTCCATCGTAACATTATTTCTGTTAGCCAGTTCTGCAAAAACAATAATACCTCCATTGAGTTCTCACCCGATTCTTTTGTTGTGAAGGATCTAACCACATGGGCATCCTTGGCCCGCGGCCGGAGTAAAAACAATTTATACATATGGCCAGAACAACCATCTCCACTCATGTCTCATATCTCTTCCAACATATGGCATCAACGCCTTGGTCACCCAACTCTCTCAGTCCAGAATCGCATTCTTTCATCAAATAAAACGCATGTTCGTCAAGACAAGTTCCCGTGTCAACCATGCCTTCAAGCCAAGAGTCATAAATTACCTTTTCATAAGTCTACAATAAATTGTAATCATCGGTTTGAGTTTATTTTTTTCTGATGTTTGGGGTCCAGCTCCCGTTTCTGCTATTCATAATACTAAATTCTATGTCATCTTTGTTGATTATTACACAAAGTACTATTGGTTATTTCCTCTCAAACATAAATCTGAAGTTTATTCTGTTTTTAATAATTTTCGTGCACTCATTGAAAATTATTTTAAAACCACTATTAAAACCTTGTATACCGACGGCGGCGGGGAGTTTACTGCACTCACACCCTTATTATCCCACCATGGCATACAACATCTTAAATCACCACCCTACACACCCGAACATGTCGGCTCTGCCGAACGCAAACACCGACATGTCGTTGAAACTGCTTTAGCACTCATACTTCAAGCTAAGGTTCCCCTCTATTACTGGCCGTATGCCTTTAAACATGCCACTTATCTTATCAACCGCATGCCCACTCCTACTCTCCAAAATGATACCCCTTATCACAAATTATTTGGGGATATGCCTGACTATTCCTCTCTAAAAGTATTTGGATGTTTATGCTATCCCTGGATGCGCCCCTATACCAAACATAAACTTCAACCTCGGTCTGAACCATGTGTATATCTTGGTTTTTCTACCACCCACCATGCTCATCAATGTTTACATCCTCAAACCCGTCGTATATATCTCACTCGCCATGCACTTTTCTTTGAAAAATATTTTCCATACAATTCCCCAAATTCCCAACCTCCCTCATTTGACTATAGCCATAGTCTACGTACCTTTATCTCTCAGCTGAAATCCATGCCTTTATCAGTATCACCTACTGCCTTGGCCAACCCATCTTCAACCGATAACACCATTTCCCATTCCACTGTCATCCCGCTTCCATCTCAGGTTCCCCAGCCAGTCTCCACCCCACACAATCCTACTACCTCATCTCTCACACCCACACATTCACCATCACCTTCTACTATCCATTCTCCTTTTTCAGAACACTCACCCTCCCCTCCCACCTCAGCGTCCACGCCGTCGGTATCACCCAGCAGTTCCACTTCAGTACCCAGCCCACCTCCGGTCCAGCCCCACAGACCAGTCACTCGTTCTCAGAACCACATTGTCAAACCCAATCCTAAGTATAATTTCCATACCACTACCTCTTCCATTCCTGTAGCCCCCACGTCCTACAAACAAGCATCCTCACATCCTGAGTGGCGTCAAGCCATGATGGATGAGTATGCTGCCCTTGAGAAAAACAACACTTGGTCACTAGTTCCCCCGTCTCCTCTGCAAAACGTTATAGGATGTAAATGGGTGTATCGGGTCAAACAAAATCCAGATGGTTCTCTTGCTCGCTACAAAGCACGGCTCGTTGCCAAAGGATTTCATCAACGCCCAGGGGTTGACTTTACTGACACATTCAGTCCGGTTGTAAAACCGGCAACTGTCCGCCTAGTTCTCACTCTTGCTATTATACATTGTTGGCCTATTCGCCAACTCGATGTGAACAACGCTTTTTTGCAGGGTACCTTATCTGACAAGGTTTATATGCAGCAACCTCCAGGCTTTATTAACAAAGCTTATCCTCATCATGTGTGTCTTCTCCGAAAAGCGTTATATGGACTTCGTCAAGCACCTAGGGCTTGGTACTGTGAGCTCAAAACCTATCTGTTGCAGTTTGGTTTTCTCAATAGCCGCAGTGATACCTCTTTATTTATCTACTCTTCTGGCAGCACACTATTATTCTTGCTTGTATACGTCGATGATATAATTCTTACTGGGAACGACTCTAGGTTTCTGGAATCCTTTATATCAGCATTAGCAGGTCGCTTTAGCCTTAAAGACCTTGGCTCTCTATCTTACTTTCTTGGTCTTGAGGCTTCACGGACCTCCAGCGGCTTATTTCTCACCCAACACAAATACATCTCTGACCTACTCTCACGAACGGGCATTGAACTCGGCTGCACCCACACCAACTCCAGTGTCTCCAAATGATTCTCTCTCTCTCTGGTTGATGCATCATCTCCTCATGATGCATCTGAATATCGGAGTATTCTTGGTGCTCTTCAATATTTGTCCTTTACTCGGCCTGATATCAGTTTTATAGTTAATAAACTTGCTCAATTCATGCACTGTCCGACTACAAAACATTGGCAAGCTGTGAAGAGGGTATTACGCTACCTTCGTGGTACTGCTAATTTTGGCATATTCATCTCTGCTAAGACTCCTTTCTCTCTTCATGCTTTTGCCGATGCTGATTGGGCAGGGGATTCTGACACACGCCGCTCTACTTCTGCATATGTTGTGTTTATTGGATCAAACCCCATTAGTTGGAGTTCCAAAAGGCAAGCCACTGTTGCACACTCATCCACGGAGGCCGAATATCGTGCCATCGCCTCAGTATCTGCTGAATTAGAATGGCTTCGCAACCTCCTTTCTGAGCTTCATTTTCCACTACGCTCGGCTCCAACAGTGTTCTGTGATAACTTAAGTGCCACTTATGTATGTGCAAATCCTGTTTTTCACTCGCGAATGAAACACGTTGCCATTGACTTTCACTTTGTTCGTGAACAAATTCAAAAAGGTCAACTGCGTGTCACACATGTTCATACTCAGGATCAACTTGCTGACTCTCTCACCAAGCCACTTGCTCGACAATTATTTCAATCTCATCGCTCCAAGCTTGGTATTCTTCCCAGACCACCTCACTTGCGGGGGCATGCTAAAGTATAAAATATAAATATTATTAACTCTTGTATTTATCCATCCGGCCTGGTGTGTTTATCTGTACACCTACTTGTATTTATCATATGTAACAAACCCAAGTGTACAGCCTACTATTTAGGATCTAGCAACTACTCTCACGTGAGTATATGTGTACATGGCTATATATACATAGCAGACCATTCAATGAATAATAAGATAAATCATTCATTCTGCTTAATACTTGTATTTGCTTCAGCTACTATGTCGTTACGGGAACCGACATAAAAAGTGTTTTTTAACCCATATAGAAAGTGTTTTCTACACTAGTGATATTTCAACACATGATATATGAAGATAATAACATATTCTGTTAAAATAATTTAAGCAACATAGATATACATAAACATGGATATATAGTCATTTATCCCTGATATAATGTTGTGTTTCTGGTCATTTTTATAATTTTAAATAAATTATTTGTTTGGACTAACGGTATTACAAAATTTCGGATAAAAGGCAAAAAAGTTATCTCTTTTGTACATTTACAAAATAATGACAAACTTCACAATTACCCTGCAGTGACATAATGACTCCGGTCAAAGTGACTCCTGCCAAAGTGATTTCAGTCAAAGTGACTCTGGCCACAGTGACAGTTTATTCCGGCCACAGTGACACCTGATTCCGGCCACAGTGATGTGCGGATTCCGGCCACGACCGCAGTAACACCAGCCATCACCACTCCGGCACTGCCATGCCCCTCCCTAACCCCATGCCCCACTACCCCAAACTCCAGCCCTTGCCCCTCCCCACGCCCCAGCACTTCAACCCTTGCCCCCTGTCCTGTCTTGCCCTAGCTTTGACATGCCACCAGCCCCCTCCCTAGCCACTACCAAACACCACACCCCGCCCCAGCCCTGCAACCCGCTGCACCCCACCACTGTACCACTGCTGCTTGTCACAACCTTAGCTGCCATCGTCTATATCGTGAACCCTTGTCACGTCAAGAACATATCTAGCTACCGTCGTCAAGAACAGATGTATCCACCGTCGTCGCCACGCAGCCACGCCATCCCAAATCAGAGCAGGAGTCGACGATCGATGAAGATGATTAAAAGAGAAGAAGAGAGACGAACCTAGTCGACGGAGATGGTGGTGAGTTGTGACGCGATGGCTTGGAGACGGCGGTGAGGCGGCGACTAGGAGATGGTGGCGAGGCAACGGCTTGGACACGGTGGCGAGGCGACGATAATGGCTTGGTGATGGTGGGCACACGAAGGCGACTGCCGGCCGCTGGAGGCATAGGTAGTGCCGATCGTGAGGTAGATCGAGAGATGGATGAACGATGGAGGTAAATCTGTCGTGTGGTAGAAGCGGTAGATGGTTGAAAGGGAGGCGGCGGCGTTGAAGATTTGATGGAAGGAGATCGAAAAGTTGAGATGAAATGCGAAGGAGCGATGAAGATCAAAAGAGGAAGAAGAAAGGATTGAAATCGCTGATCTGGTGCTACGCGAACGAATGAGTCACATTTTTGGGAAAAGATAAAGTTGTCATATTTTTGAAATCAAAAAAGCTGTAGATAATAAATGGGTCATTCTTTCTGAAATTTGTGAAGAAGAGAGAAATTACTTTAACTATATATTTTTCACATTAAATGAATTTGACAACGTTTTTTAGACAAATAAATAAGAAAATTCAGCAAAATTTAATGAGACGGATAGAATAATTTTTTCAGCACTGCCCCAAGATATTTGTTCACTACTTCACTGAACCACTTACCTATGATTCAATTCATTTTCTGAGCATGTATGTTCGCGCATAGTTGATTTTAGTGAAGTTTTTAAATATTTCACTCCAAATTTTGAAAAATTATCACTAACACTTCAATTTTTGTGTGGTCCTTTTTCCATATTGGTTTATTTTTGGATATGTGTGATTAGATGATTATGTTATTCATTTACATTAAGTTAATAAAATTGTGCTTAAATTTATCTATGCAATAAATACTAATTAAATATTGATAAAAAATTACAATATGAAATAAATCAAAATATGCCTATTTGCATATTCTAGGTCTTAATGATTTTTTAAAAACATAATTTTCTCGTATATATCCTTTCTTTTCACATAAATACTCAACATTTCTAATTTTTACAAATCTGAACACAAAGGAGTCTCTCTAAAAATATATGTTCTTGTCTTCTTGATTCATTTTCATTATTTAATAAATGCATGCTACACATAAAACATACGGAGTATAAATACATACGATAGTATATACCTGGTCTTTCTCTTATTGAACACCAATGGTCAATGGAAATCTACCAAAAACATCACAAGTCTAAATAATTTCTGGGAATCCTTAGAGTAAATGAGGGAACTGCAAGGAAATTTTAGGTGAGTGGTGTAATAAAAATATCAAATCATACTGTCATTGTTACACCATCAAAATATAAGAAAAAAAATTCTAATAGAAATAGCTCAATATAGGATAAAAAAGTACATAAAGTTTAAAAATCTGATGAATTATATTTTAGAGTTTTTACCACTTTTGATCATCCGAATAGTATGTCATTATAGAAATAGCTCAATCTAGGATAAAAAAGTACTCGACTTTAACTTTTTCCACTTTTAATCTAGACTATTGTTATAGAGATACTTTCCATACTCGTCTTTGAAAATTTTCATATTTAGTCCAACGATTTTCATATAAGTGACACTTTTGGTCCTTCAACTATTATATTAGTGACATTTTTAGTACTCCACTTATTGTGTCAAAATCATACTGGAAGGACTAAAAGTGTGAACTTGATAATACTCAGGGGATTAAATGTGAGAAACTTTGAAATCAAGGATTAAAAGTGTCTCCAACACAATAGTTGAGGACTAAAAACAGAAAAATTAAAATTCGAGTACCAAATCTGTAACTGACACAATAGTCAGGGCCCAAAAACGGGAAATCTCTATATTGTATTCTTCAAATAGGATTTATTGAGTCCTATAAAAGAATAACATGATTAAGACTTCCCAAAGCATGAGTGAATGAGTCATA